GGAGTGTTGGTATGGCGATGCGCCACTCGCCCTATCCTCCGCGACTCAGACGGGGCCGCACCGTTGAATGATGCGGTGGTGGTGGGGCTGCGGGGGGAGAGGAGTGTCGGTATTGCGAGGCGCCGCTCTCCCTACCCTCCGCAGCCGAATCTTGGTTGGCGGCGGAGCCATAGACCAGATCCGCCGCTGGGGTCGGGAAGGCTGGTGCTTCTTAGTGCTGGTTTTTCCTGGCCCCATGGCCTTCGCGCGTCGGACGCGGGGGCGTCTGTTGCGCGCATCAAATTGGAGGCCGAGGAGGAGGGCGCGCCATGTGTTCTGGTGCGCCTTACCGGAGAAGGAGATGGGGGAGGAGTGGTCCTCTCCCGAGGAGGGGCCGCCATGGGGTGGCCGGCGCAGGTGGGGCCGCGGAAGTGTGCGAAAGCGTTCCCGTGGCCCTGCCAATATGCGACGAGGGTGGAACACCATGGGGTTTTAGTCGGTGCGAGTCCGACATAACCCGTCCTTGCCCCCGCGAGGCGGGTATGCGTAGGCATTTCCCCATGTAAAAAAAAAAAAAAAAGGTTAGGTTAGGTTAGGTTAGGTTAGGTTAGGTTAGGTTAGGTTCCCCCCCGTCCGGGTTCCCGCCTTGTCGTGGCGGGGGGGCTTAGTAGCCGTGGCTTGGTCAACCACGGTGAACGAAGAGGAACCCCTTGGCTGGCCCGAGGTGTAGGGCCGGCCCGAGGTGGCCACTCCGAGTGGGCTTGGGAAGCCCACTTCGGATGTGTGTCGGGGGGCTGTGGTGAGAGGGGAGTCCGCAACCGTCTACCGCTGCAGCCGAGGTGGAGTCGCGGAGGAAGAGGAGTGTTGGTATGGCGATGCGCCACTCGCCCTATCCTCCGCGACTCAGACGGGGCCGCACCGTTAATTGATGCGGTGGTGGTGGGGCTGCGGGGGGAGAGGAGTGTCGGTATTGCGAGGCGCCGCTCTCCCTACCCTCCGCAGCCGAATCTTGGTTGGCGGCGGAGCCATAGACCAGATCCGTCGCTGGGGTCAGGAAGGCTGGTGCTTCTGAGTGCTAGTTTTTCCTGGCCCCATGGCCTCCGCGTGTCGGACTCGGGGGGGTCCGATACGCAGGTCGAGTTGGAGGCTGTGGAGGGGGGTAATTGAACACCTCGCTACCCCGTGCAGGAGACGAGGCCCAGACAGATCGGGCCAGCACTAGTGTGGGGCTGCGGAAGAATTTGGATTCCCGCGGCCCCGCACGCACGTGCGAGGAGGAACCGTGGGGTTTTAGCCGGTAGGAGTCCGGCATAACCTTCCGGTTGCCCCCGCGGCCGGAGGTATCCATGAGGATTTCCCCACGTAAAAAAAAAAAAAAAAAAAAAAAAAAGGTTAGGTTAGGTTAGGTTAGGTTAGGTTAGGTTAGGTTAGGTTAGGTTAGGTTAGGTTAGGTTAGGTTAGGTTAGGTTAGGTTAGGTTAGGTTAGGTTAGGTTAGGTTAGGTTAGGTTAGGTTAGGTTCCCCCCCGAACGGGTTCCCGCCTTGTCGTGGCGGGGGGGCTTAGTAGCCGTGGCTTGGTCACCCACGGTGAACAAAGAGGAACCCCTTGGCTGGCCCGTGGTGTAGGGCCGGCCCGAGGTGGCCACTCCGAGTGGGCTTGGGAAGCCCACTTCGGATGTGTGTCGGGGGGCTGCGGTGAGAGGGGAGTCCGCACCCTCTACCGCTGCAGCCGAGGTGGAGTCGCGGAGGAAGAGGAGTGTTGGTATGGCGATGCGCCACTCGCCCTATCCTCCGCGACTCAAACGGGGCCGCACCGTTGATGCGGTGGTGGTGGGGCCGCGGGGGGAGAGGAGTGTCGGTATTGCGAGGCGCCGCTCTCCCTACCCTCCGCGGCCGAAACTTGGTTGGCGGCGGAGCCCGAGACCAGATCCGCCGCTGGGGCCAGGAAGGCTGGTGCTTCTGAGTGCTAGTTTTTCCTGGCCCCATGGCCTTCGCGCATCGGACATGGGGGCGTCCGTTGCGCATTAGAAATTGGAGGCCGAGGAGGAGGGCGCACCATGTGTTCTGGTGCGCCTTACCTGAGAAGGAGATGGGGGAGGAGTGTTCCTCTCCCGAGGAGGGGCAGCCATGGGGCGGCCAGCGCAGGTGGGGCCGCGGAAGTGTGCGAAAGCGTTCCCGTGGCCCTGCCAATATGCGACGAGGGTGGAACACCATGGGGTTTTAGTCGGTGCGAGTCCGACATAACCCGTCCTTGCCCCCGCGAGGCGGGTATGCGTAGGCATTTCCCCATGTAAAAAAAAAAAAAAAAAGGTTAGGTTAGGTTAGGTTAGGTTAGGTTAGGTTAGGTTAGGTTAGGTTAGGTTAGGTTAGGTTAGGTTAGGTTAGGTTAGGTTAGGTTAGGTGAGGTTAGGTTAGGTTAGGTTTTTTTTTTTTTTTTTTATTATATTATAAATAAGTATACACTACAGACTCGAGGTCCGTACCTTTTTTTCGCTTTATATTTCTTTATTAACTTTTTTATTTTACATCGTACTCCTTACACTACTAGTATAGTAAATTTACTTAAGCCTAAGCAGTGAGTTCACGTTTTTTTTTTTTTTTTTTTTTTTATTATTATTATTATTATTTTTTTTTTCCTTTTTTTTTTTTATATATATAGATTATTTTTTTTTTTTTTATATATCATGCGTTTTTTTTTTTTCTTTTACTTTTTTTTTTTTTTTTTGTTTATGTTTTGAGTTCTAATTCCTAACATGCTTTATTTAATTTACCATATACATTTTTTTTTTAATTATTATTATTCCGTCGTGGTGGAGACCGCTCCGTCTTCAGCTATATCAATTCGCCGTTGTCAGGGCCTCTACGACAGCTGCGTCTCTGCTTTTTAGTGCCATTTTTAGGTTGTATTCTTTAATTCTGTTTGTTGTCGCAGCCATCGCGCTTTCAATCAGCCGTCCAGTCGCATCGTCGCAATCGTCCGTGTAATATACACAGGATACTGTGTGCCTGGACACTGCCACTACTGCGTGTTGGACGCTGTCATAAATTTTGTGCTTCTCTGTTGTTGTCCTCATTATGACCACTGTCCCGTATGTGAGGCCTTGGGCCTCATGTACGGTTAAAATTCGCGACCCAGGACCCGAACCATATCCCTGTCTTGTAAGGGACTCCTTTTCTGCTTGCGTGTATACAAGATATAATGTATTTGGCAGGGTACCTGGAATGACTACTCCCGTGTACCTTTTCCTTTCCAGTGAATGCACCTGAGATCTGGATGAATATATGCCATTGTAAATTTCACTCAGGGCATATGCCACATCCATCGGATTCCGGTGCGTACACAGGAGTTCTTGGCTGATTGTGGTCACGAGGCTTGGGCGAGTATATTGCATCGCAAAGAGGTTTTCCCTGTCGATATACGGAAGTTGATTGATGTCACCGATGAGCAGTATTTTTTCCGCTCCACTCAGTCGCATTGCCATTACTATGGCCCCGAAATGGTTCATGAGAGCTTCGTCGACTAAAAGTCGAGTGCATCTTCTGTTTTGCCTTCTCATGCCATTTACTAGAATTGAGGCCATAGTGCGCACTTTTGTTTTTGCGTCGGTGCCAATGCGGTTGCTTAATTTTTCCCTGAGGTCTTTAGCTGCTTCTGTTGTTGTAGTGACAATCAAGTCATTCTCCGCATCGAATTGTTTTATAATCCAAGTCGTTTTTCCACACCCCGGGACCCCATTTACCCAATTTATTGTCGGCACCGTCCAGCTTTCCCAAGGATCTCCCGTTTCACAGGTTCTTGAGATGGCTTCCGCCATGTTCAGGATCCTGTCTTCTAGCATCACCCTGGTACAACGGGCGGTGACCACAATAGGGTCGTTGGGGGGGGTTTTGAATACTAATCTACCCTGTCGTTTCGTCTCCTCCTCTTCCAAGGATACAAAGCCCGCTGACCCGCTATAAGCCGCCATGTGATGACCCATTTTACCTCTTATGACTGTGGATGTTTTGTTGTCATAAATTGCGGCCTCTGCCTCCTCGAGCTGCACCTCAAGAAACTCTTGACTACCGAGGTGGAAACTTTGTAAGATGTTCCTACAAGTCGTTTGGTTCACTTCAAGAGTTGCTTTTGTGAGGGCTTTGAACTCTAGGAACGCGTTGATTATGTGGTCCTTAGGCCCAATCGCCGGTAGAAGCTTTGGCGGGCTGACTCGTCCCGAACAGGGTCTAGTGTAGGTGGGTTGGGATTTCTTGAGAACTCTCGGAGGCTCTCTTATTAAGTTTTCGGCTTGCCTTATCTTTTTTAACTTTCGGATTGCTCTTCCTGGAATGCTTTGGGCCGCTGCACTAATGGTATTAATTAATGCACTTACCCCGCTTTGAGACTCAGAACTTTTTGTAATTTTTTCTCTGGCTGCGGCCTTTTCTTGGGCCGTTTTCAGTTGCAGACGTTCTGAGCCACTAAGTGTTTCTGGATTTGCTGTTTGGTGTTGAGTTGCCATAGTCGAGTCGTGATGTTTGAGGAAGCTCAGGTTTTCGCCCCTATCCTCATACACGACTATTTCATGTTTATTTGAGGCTTTTATGCAACCAATGTGGTCCACGACTTCACCTTTCTCATACAAGACCACCATGGCGTCCACACTTATGATGCGAGGTATGTCCACTGTCTCTACCTCACCGAGTCTCGTTAGCAGTGAGCATGCCTGGGCGAATGGAGTTTTCTGTTCGCTCCATGTGAACAGCAAGATCGTTTTGTTTTTCGACCTTACTATTCGACATCGTTGGTTGGCGACTTCTATCTCAATTAGCGCATCGTATGTTTTGCGCTTCATGCTCGTTTTGAAGGTACTGCCGTTTAGTAAGCTTGCGAGACCAGGAGAGATTTTGACATAGTTTCGGCCCACTGTTGAGCAAAAGCTTAGCCCGAAACGCTCTGTGTTGTTATCCATGAAGAGAGCTACTCCTCGAATTCTCAGGCCTGGATTGCCTCTTTCAGCGCATGCAATTAGCTGATGTTCTATTTTATTGGCTGGGATGCTCTTCTCTTTTATGCAAACTTCTGCAGACTCCGCAACAGTTTGCGGTATACTTTATCTTATTTGTGATCACCATAGCTTTTGTTTTATGCGGCGCAAATTTAAGCTTATTTCTGACTCCCCACTTCTGAACATGTGCGAGAACTGCGTTGGCTCGCTCTTGCACATCTAATGCCCGCTGCCCGGAGAACATCAGGACCACATCGTCTGCGAATGCCTGGCAGTATTCCCCTTTGTCGCTTAACTCCTTTAATAGTGGGTCGAGCAACAAATTCCAGTAAATAGGACCTCCTATCGAGCCTTGCACACATCCCTTTGTTGTCTTTTTGACCCATTCCGCTCCACTGTACCTGATGCATACTGTTCTGTCTTCGAAGTAACTGTCTATGAGGCGCCTTAGGTTTATTGGGCACCTCGTCTCTGCTAGTCTGCATCTTATTGCTGGCCACCAAGCGTTATCGAAGGCTCCCTCTATGTCTAAGGATACGAGTACAATCAATTCTTTGTTCTTCAATTTGGATTTTATGTGCTGCATCATGTCATAGAGGGAGTCTTCGGTACTGCGCTGTGGCATGAAACCATATTGTTTACTGCTGATGTTGGGAATGATGTGCCATTTTATCCTTCGAACCAACATCTTTTCGAAAATTTTTCCCAGGACAGGGAGCAGTCCAATTGGTCTATAAGACTTGGGATGTGTGTAGTCTACTTTTCCCGGTTTCCGTAGTACCACTATAACTGCCTCTTTCCATTTTCTGGGGAAGTGTGCCAGACTGAGACATTTATTGGCAAGCGCCAGAAACATTGTCGGATCCAAACCAATTGCTGCTTCACAAATGTCAGCTGTGAGACCGTCGTATCCTGGTGCTTTTTTAGGGTTGAAACCAGACACAGACCACTTTAGCTCTTCCATGGTAAAAGGTGGGTCACATGAATCATCATGTGACCCTTCATTTACTACTCCTGCTGTCTCTCTTATCTGCCTGTGTCCTGGATCATCTTCCCGAACATCATCATCCGGATAGAAAGTCTCAGCCAGAGTCTTTGCTGATTCTTCATTTCCCATGATTCTCCCATTCAGGGCAAGAGGAACGTCCTCCTGCCTCTGTGTTGTGCGGCCTATCACTCTGTAGATACTATCCCACATTGACTCTCGTTCTTGTCTACTGCAAAAGTCCTTCCAGCTGGAAGTTTGGGCGCTTTTGACTTCATGATGGTACTCGTTCTTTGCATTAAGGTACTGTTCCACCACCCACTCTCGACGAATTGGTGCTGCATATGATATACGACGCTTTAGTCTGGAGACTTCCTTCTTGCGCTTTGTCAACTCCTCGGTCCACCAGGGCAACCCCATGCGTTTTTTGTTTTTTAATTTGGGTAAATATTTTTCACACACTTCTATTATTGCATTTGTCACTTCTACTATTTTTGTTTCTAGTTCTTTTCTGGTTTCTATCTTGTCTATTTCTATTTTGTTAATTGATTTTCTGCTCCAAATATGGAGGAGTTTCTCACGAAACTCGCTCCAGTTTGCGTTTTTAGTGTTAAATTTTCTTGTTGTTCTATCTATGTCGGTGCCAATTGACTTTTCTAAATTGATGTCGAATAGTATTGCCCTGTGGTCCGAACCAGTTATCTCTTCAGAAAGCCTCCAGTTTTCTACCCTCCCTAGCAGGCGCGTCGAACAGGTAGTTATGTCCACACAGCTGGTAAACCTTCTCCCACCCCTGATGGTGTCAAAGGTGGGATCAGTTCCCCTGTTGAGTAGGTGAAGCTCCAATTCGTCGAGCTTGGCAGCCACCTCCATTCCTCTACTATCCGTCTCTCGGCTTCCCCACCAGGTGTTCCATGCGTTCACGTCTCCACCAAATATCACGTTTACATTCCCCAAAGCTTCCACGGCCTTTTCGATCGTGTCCAGGTATGGGACGATTGGTTTGTTGCACTCCAGATAGACAGACACCACTCCCATCTCCCAGGTCCCTGTCCTCAACTTGGCGACTGCTATATTTTCCGTTGTTAGATCGGGACACTGGGTTATGTTAATGGTGTCGTCGAACAATACAATGGCTGCCTTGATCACCTTTTCGGTGTTGGGTTCTCGGTGACATTGTATTATTCGTGTCCCTGGGTACTTCTTCATCTCGCCTATACGACCAATGTAGGGTTCCTGGACCAGTGCGAATGATATCTTTTTCCAGGTCGCCTCTGTAATCATTTCGGCCGTGGCTAACTCGCTTCTTTGGAGGTTTACCTGTATCGCGTGATATCGGTGGTTGCCGGCGTAGAGGTTTCTGTTAGACCTTGAGACCACCTTAGCAATAAGCTACGGTGGATCGTGCTAAGGCTTCCCATTTCCTTCTCACCGGGCAATCCGAACTGAACGCATTGTGGTCTTTAATATCCATTCTTGCCTTTATGCAATTTCTGCATGATGGTTTTTCACCGGAGAGCCAGTCGGCGCATTCTGTCCTGAGGTGTGGGCCTCCACAGTGACTGCAGACCTCTGTAGTCTCATTGCATAGGCGCTTGGTGTGTCCATATCCCAAGCACCGTGAGCATTGGATAAGTGGGGACTGGTCTGCCACCCTCACTCGTTGGAGATCCACGTGAATCACTTCAACTTCTATGAGGCGAGTCCATAACTGGGGCGAGACTTTCAGTACAATGTGGGATGTATGCGGATTCCTGGACTTTTTCTTGTATTTTATCTCTATTCTATCCTCGTTGTCTTCCAAGTCTTTAAAAAGTTGCTTATTTTGAATTCTGATTGCCTTAACTATTTCATCATCTGAATTGTATTGTAAGACATCTTTCAGAATTACGAGTGGGTCTTTATTTTTTATGTCATCTATATTTAGGTGTTTGCTTGCATTCTTTATTTTTTCCTTGACTTTGTTTAACTCATCCTGGGTACAACATCCAACTATTACCTTTCTATCTCTTGCTTTCCTAATCTTATCTATTTTGAGTCCTTCCTCTTTTGCATTTATTGCCTTCCTTATTTTATCCATCACCTGATCTCCGGTCTCCTTTTCATCAGTTGATGTAATAGCCACCGAGTGCATGGCTTTATTTTCCGAGGGTACTATTTTCGGTTTCCCAGCTAGTATACTCGCGTACGTTCCTCTATCTTCTTTACTTTCAAGTTTTCTCAATTCATCCCTTAGTTTTCCGATCTCTTTGTTGTTTTCTTCAAGAAGTTTTCCATGTTCATCTAACTTTTTTAATAGTTTAATATGTTCCTCTGGTGTTGTACTTTCAGCCTCCTTCAACTCGTCTTTTTTCCCCTCTTCCCTTAATTTTGTCTCTTTTCCTATACTCTTTACTGTCTCTGCCTCCTTAACTAGCTGGTAGAGCCTTTCTATGGCCTGAGTGACCTCGGTTTTGATGTCTGTCCTTAGGTTGCGTGAATTGCTAAGGTGCAATTTTGCTTTTTGGAGGCATGCACGGGCCTCTGTCAGACGATCCGCATATTTTGTACTCCCCATCTTTGGTGAGCTTTCTGTTGGCTCGTCTTGCATTTTGCGGGTTGTTCCCTTTGCTTCCTGAGGCAGCATAGTTTTTTGTTTCAGGCGAGCAGGCGGGGCAACCTTTTTTGGAGAGCTATGTGTTCCGGCTGCTGTGTCTGTTTTCCCCGACTCCCATTCTCCTATACTTCTCCTCACACTTGAGGCCGACGTCTTTTGATTTATTTTTGGAGAAAGTCCTGCTTTCTCTGTCCCGTTTGGTGAACCCTGTGGGCTCAAGTCCCTGGCGCTGCCCTCGGTCTTTTTTGTGGGAGTACGGATGCCGAACATCTTAGGGAGTAACGCGTCTTTTGATCACAATAATTGATCACCGTAATTAATATAAATAAAGAAAAATAAAGAAAAATAAAAAGTCAATAAAAAGTCAAATTAAAAATTAAATTTGTAAAAGTTGTATATAAAATAATATAAAGATATTAATATATTTTTGCAGTCGACACGGCTATGGTATGTTCAGAGTTAAGGTATCTCTATGTAGAGTCAGTTTATAAGTCCTATCCTTAATAACAAACCAGCACAAGACAGTATAATAAAATAATATAATAACTCCAATAAATCAAATTAGTTTTAGATTCTATGCAGAGTTAGTTAAAAGTCCTATCAATAGTACAAAATAATAAAAACAAAATAAATTTTTCAGCAGTGTACTAGGATCTACCTAGTGTCGTCTCCACTAGATGACTTTATTCTATAGAATGCTTATACCAAAGCTAGTCACACTTATCTAAAATAATAGTCTAAAAATTGTCTAAAAATAAATTGTTATTCTAATTTATAATCTAATATAACCACTATATAACATTAGCCGCCGATAGCCCTCCTCGAGCCCTTTCCAATGATCCCAAACTCAGTACACCTAGCCCAACAGGTTCCGAAGTTATCACGCTTTAAAATTTTGGTTCCAATACAAGATTGCGGTCGAAAATGTGGTTATAGCGCTGTAACTCCGGAACGGGTAGGCCCACAATGCACTGCCTGGGCTCGTTTTGTTGGGCTTAACAAGGGCTATAATGTGGTATGGTCTTCAGGACACAAAAATTTTTTACAGTCTGAAGTTCCTGAAAACTGTTTTTTCTGTTTCAACACTCCTTTAAAATTTGTATAAAGATAAAATGAATAAGTATGTCCTATGCTAACGGTGTTGGGAATGTCCAACCCACCGTGACACAAGTATGTGTGCAGTCAATTTTAACAATAATAAAGTTAAAATAAAATAAGTAAAATTTTAAAAATAAATTATTAACTCTATGTAGAGTTCCTCTGCGTTTTTTACCTAAGAAGGTTGTCCTCTATATATTACGAAAGAAATAGCAAGTCTTGCTTATCTAAGAGGATATACACATAAATATACAAATACAATACACACAATTGTCTCTATGTAGAGTAGTTTTATTTGTCAGACAGAAAGTCAAAGATATTTACTATCTTATTCCGAAAACCCAGCAAAAATCGATGCGGTACTTCAGAAGATATAGCAATAACAATATTACACAAAATGGCTACCCAAAATGGCCGCCAAGTCACCAATATTATTTGATGGTACGATAAGTGAGCTTAAGCAATGAAGTTTATCGAAAACCGCATCAAAATCCGCCAAAGACTTCCGGAGATATGTCCGTTTTAAAATTTCCAATATGGCGTCCAAAATGGCGACCAAAATTTAAAATGTCAATAACTTGGTCAGTTTTTGCCGCAGAGACGCGCGGTTTGGGCTGCCACAAAATGCACTCTTCCGACCTTATGTTTTTGTCTTAAAGGAGGCTTTCCTTCGCAATTTTTATAGAGCGTATTTTCGTATATATAACAGAAACTATAAATGGGGCAATATTAAAGCCCAAAACCGCAACTCGCTACGACTTCTAGGAACAAAGTTATTTCAGTTTAAATCTTTTTTAAAATGGCCGCCGGTCCAGTCGACTAAGGCTTATTTTGGTGTTTCTCAACTGATTTCACCCGTGTTTGGGCTCATATGAAAGGTCCCGGTGTCAGGAATATAACTGAATATATGCTTTGTCGTTTAAAGCCCCTTTTCAATAAATTTTTAGCAAAAATAGTAAAAAATTTTTTAAAAATTTTGAATTTTTCAGTCAAATTTTGTTTAAAAAATCTACAAAAATTTCCAGATGTTATATTCTATGTATTTACTGTGTCTATATATTTTTAAACTTTTTAACACTTAATTAAAGGTAACATATATAAAGTTAAATAAATTAAAAAAAATCCCAACTAAAAAACTACTTATCAGAAAAATCTAAATTTTTATATATACATTAAATACAATCCTCTTAATACTATTTTGCTATAAAAACTAAAAATTTCTTTTTCCTCATTGAGTAATTAAATTAACAAAAATTTTTAAAATTAAAAAAATCAATATTTCTTTAGCCACTTAACTAAAATTAGTTCCAAAAACTGCTCCCGGCTTCTCTCCGCGTCTACTAACAGAATACGACTTCAAAAGCAGCCGCACGGTTTTGCATCACAGAACACGTGCCCACGTGGTACTTGTTTTTTTGCAATTTTCTCGAAAAGTATAATTGATAAAAATCTAAAATTTTGCACTTATATAGGGACCACTAATAGCTTTAAAGCCGAACTATAAAAACTAGGGGTCCTCACTTTAGTTTTTGAAAAATTTAATTTTGAAATTTTGTAAAAATTTAAAAATTCAATAACTCTTGAACCACTTAACTTTTGAAAAATCCGAAAATTGCTCCAGGCTCCCCTCTGCGTTTGCGACCAGAATACGACTTCAAAAAAAGCCGCACGACACTGCGTCACAAAACACGTGCCCACGTGGCACTTGTTTTTTTGCTTTTTTCTCGAAAACTACCACACAGAAAAATCTAAAATTTTGCACATTTATAGAGGTCACTGATGCCTTCTAAACCACACTTTAAAAAGTTGGGGTAAAAGCGCTTAATCGCGCAGCGTTGCACTTTGAAGTTTTTCACTTTTTAGAAAATCACTATTTTTACAATAACTTTTTCACCAAAACTCCGATTTTCATGCGGTTTACACTATATTAAACCGCTCGTCAACGCGCATCTTTTGATATACAGAACACCAAAATCGGATGCGAAAAACCTATTTTTCGGAATTTTTAACTGCGGAGCGACTTAAAAACGTGGCGTTCGGGACGGCAATTGACACCGGACTGGGTTAGGTTAGGTTAGGTTAGGTTAGGTTAGGTTAGGTTAGGTTAGGTTAGGTTAGGTTAGGTTAGGTTAGGTTAGGTTAGGTTAGGTTAGGTTAGGTTAGGTTAGGTTAGGTTAGGTTAGGTTAGGTTAGGTTAGGTTAGGTTAGGTTAGGTTAGGTTAGGTTAGGTTAGGTTAGGTTAGGTTAGGTTAGGTTAGGTTAGGTTAGGTTAGGTTAGGTTAGGTTAGGTTAGGTTAGGTTAGGTTAGGTTCCCCCCCCGAACGGGTTCCCGCCTTGTCGTGGCGGGGGGCTTAGTAGCCGTGGCTTGGTCAACCACGGTGAACGAAGAGGAACCCCTTGGCTGGCCCGAGGTGTAGGGCCGGCCCGAGGTGGCCACTCCGAGTGGGCTTGGGAAGCCCACCTCGGATGTGTGTTGGTGGGCTGCGGTGAGAGGGGAGTCCGCACCCTCTACCGCTGCAGCCGAGGTCGAGTCGCGGAGGAAGAGGAGTGTTGGTATGGCGATGCGCCACTCGCCCTATCCTCCGCGACT